GGCAGAATTCTAAAATGGGTCAGTAGAGCTGTGTTCTTTTTAAAGGCTCTAGTGGAGAATCTGTTTTCTTGTCATTTCCAGCTTCTAGAAGTTGCCCATATCCCTTGGTTTATGGTCCCCTTCTATCTCCAAAGCCAACAATGGCCAGTTGTGTCTTTCTCACATCGCATTACTCTGACACTAACTTTTCTGCTTCCCTCTTCCACATTTAAATGACCCTTGTAATCACATTGGGCCCACTTGAATTATCCAAAATAATCTCCTAATTTTAAGGTCAGTTGATTAGCAAACTTAATTCCATCTACAACCTTAATCCTCATTTGCCATGTAACATAACATATTCACAGTTTCAGGGATTAGGATGAGGACATCTTTGAGGGGGCCATAATCTCTTTATCAAACTGCCCCACCCAGAACACACCAGGAAAGAGGTTCCTGCTTCCCCATCTATGAAGGCTAATGTGATGAATTCTGTCCCCAGTTTGCTATATTGTCTAGCTGCAACCACAAGGATGGGACTCTGGTCCCTGATCACATCAAGAGAAAGTCAAGTGTTTCCCTAGTCATGATACTTAAAGGCTCACAGCCCGGGATCAATGCCACTCTCCCAGAATCTAACATCTAGCCCTATCAGGTTGCCATGTGAATGGCAACAAGAAACCTTCCCATCTGCTACTGCCCATGGGCCCATGAATTCTCCCCTGTGAACACTAATCCAGCAGGTTTGATGCTATTAACCTATTTGCTCCATGGAAACTAAGTACAGCCTAGTGCATAAAGCAATCAATTGTGGTCAACCACAAAGCTTGGAACCTGTTCCATTAGATAATTTTGATGAGAGCAAATGAAGGCACTTAACACTCCCGCAAATTAAAGCAAAAGTTTTGTTACAGAAGACAGTAATGCAGTAATGGAGAAGAGAATAAGAACAACAACAGAAAAACCCACACTGCATCCAGAACCCATATTCACACAACCTAGAGAGACAGGAGCAGTAAAACTGAACAGGTAGTCAGCAGCAGCAGGAAGTGGGCACTGCAGCTTCTCTCACTGGGATGAGACAAAAAGTGATTTTATGACCCTCATGGTACTGGGCTACTTATACCCCCAGAAATCCCACAGTTACTTACACAGGTAACTAATTACACAGCCATTTCTAGAGCTAAATTTGCCTGTTGTATAACAGATTTTTTCAAGTTTCAGAATATGCAACACGCACAAAAGGTAACTCAAGGTGGATCCTAGACTTAAATGTAAAATGCAAAACGATATAAGGACTCAGATGATGGTAAAGTCTAATTACGTGTTATGTATATAATACTGCTAGAAGATAATATAGGAGAAAATCTAGATGATCCTTGGTATGACTTTTTAGATACAACACCAAAGGCACGATCCATGAAAAAATAATTGATAAGATGAACTTTACTAAAATTAAAAACTTCTGCTCTGTGAAAGACAATGTCAAGAGCATGAGAAGACAAGTCACAGACTGGGAGAAAATATTTGTAAAAGACGTATCTGATGAAAGACTGTTACTCAAAATATACAAAGAACTATTAAAACTCAACAATCAGAAAATAAACACCCTGATTAAAAAACAGACCAAAGACCAGGGGCCGACCCCGTGGCCAAGTGGCTAAGTTCATACACTCCGCTTCGGCGGCCCAGGGTTTGCCGGTTCAGATCCTGGGTGTGGACATGGCACTCACTCACCAGGCCATGCTGAGGTGGTGTCCCACATACCACAGCCAGAGGCACTCACAACTAGAATACACAATTATGTACTAGGGAGCTTTGGGGAGAAGAAGGAGGGGAAAAACAAAAAGAAGATTGGCAACAGTTGTAAGCTCAGGTGACAATCTTTAAAAAAGAAGTTTTTAAAAAATGGACCAAAGACCCTAACAGATCCCTCATCAGAGAAGATGTATAGATGGCAAGTAAGCATGTGAAAAGATGCTCCACATCATATGTCTTCATGGAAATGCAGATTAAAACAACGAAATACCGATACATACCAATTAGAATGACCAAAATCCAGAACACGGACAACACCAACACCACCAAATGCTGGCGAGGACGTGGGGCAAAAGGGACTCTCCTTTATTGCTGGTGAGAATGCAAAGTGGTATAGCCACTTTGGAAGACAGCTTGGCAGTTTCTTACAAAACCAAACATACTCTTATGGTATAATCCAGCAATCACACTCCTTGGTATTTACCCAAAGGAGCTGAAAATTTATGTCTACACAAAAACCTGTACATGGATATTTGTAGGAACTTTCTTTGTAGTTGCCAAAACTTGGAAGCAACCAAGATGTCCTTCAGTAGGTGAATAGATAAACTGTGGTACATCTAGACAATGGAATATTATCCAGCACTTAAAAGACATGAGCTATCAAGCCATGAAAATACATGGAGGAAACTTAAATTCATATTACTAAGTGAAAGAAGCCAATCTGAAAAGGCTACATACTTTATGATTCCAACTATATGACATTCTGAAAAAGTCAAAACTATGAAGACAGTAAAAAGATCAGTGGTTGCCAGGGCTTGGGAGGAGGGTAAGGGATGAAAAGGCAGAATACAGAGAATTTTTAGGACACTGAAACTAGTCTGTATGATACTATAATGATGGATACATGTCATTATCATTTGTCCAAACCCATACAATGTACAACACCAAGAGTGAACTCTAAGGTAAACTATGGATTTGGGGTGAGTATGACCTATCAATGCAGGTTCATCAATTCTAGCAAATGTACTGCTCTGGTGGGGGTACATTGATAACGGGGCAGGATACGCATACGTGGAGGCAGGGATTATATGTGAAACCTCTGTACCTTCCTCTCAATTTTGCTGTGACCCTAAAGCTTCTCTTAAAAAAATAAAGTCAGGGTGGGGCCTGTGGCCTAGTGGTTAAGTTCTGTGCACTCCATTTTGGCGGCCCATGTTTGGTTCCCGGGCACAGACCTATGCCACTCAGCAGCAGCCATGCTGTGGTGGTGGGCCACAGACAAAATAAGAGGAAGATTGGCACAGATGTTAGCTCAGGGTGAATCTTCCTCAACAAAAAAATAAATAAATAAAAATAGAATAAAGTCTTTAAAAAAAAAAAAAAAGATTTAACTTGTCCAGCATGCTCTTGTTCATCCTTGGACACTTGTCCAGTAGATTCATGGTCCCAAGATATTAACTCCCTGAAAGATTATATTAGTGTTTATACACAATATTATTCCTTCTGGGGATCAGAGTTATTTATAAATTAATCTATACACATCTTTTCTGAATATGAGGTTGGATCTTCTATTTTCTACAAATTCACCCAATGCGGGTAGAACTTCTTGAACTATTTTATGTCATTTCTCAGGATAATTTGTGAACACGATTTCAAGAATAGTGGTAAAGACAGCATGTAAATGCAGCAAGAGTGATCACTTAATGGTTGGAGAAACAAGAAAAAGAAGAGAACAAAGGACTTTAAGAGTTAAGACGGCAAATTTAGATTACCAAGAAAAATGGCCAAATCTTATAAACTAGACAGGCGATTTTTCTCATCAGTTTCATTTATCTTATGTTAATAATAATTTTTCCAATGGCCATAGGTTGGCAGTCTACTTCTGGAAGTCATCTTTTCTGTTGATCTTGGGTTAGCAGTCCACTTACTATCAGCAATGTATTTGCTTATGGATTGAAACATTCCTGTAAATTCTGTCATGTAGAGTCTTAGTATAGCCCCTAACTCTATGATTCTAAGTCAGCATTTCTTGGATGTCTCTTTCAGAAGACACAATCATTAGCCTGTAGCTTATGGCAGAGGCCTTCTAGCAGAGTGAAGGGGAAGCAGAAGCCAGATCACTGAGTGGCTTGGGTTAACTGATTACAGTAACTGAAGAATACAGAATGGAGAAAAGTGAAGTCCTCTATTGGGGTAATATATGAGTATATGGGCCTATATTATTTCTACTCAGACCATGGTAAAGCATAATTATGTATTAGAAAGTGTTTTATAAATGGTAAACACACTGATAAATGTTTAGGACGTTTCAATTTTACCCCTAAACTAGGAGCCACGAAAGTCACTAATGGACAAGTATATTTTAATCTAGAAATGAAATTTTCTTACGACTCTGTTGGATCTTTGTGTCAGTTCTTGCACATGAGTAGGAGCATATTTCTACCCACCCTAAAAAAAGGTATACATCACTGAATCATATTTATATGCATACTTTCTATGTACCTTTTTTAATTCTCTACCTTTCAATGTTTGTCTCTAAACCATAAACTAGCTCTTATAATATTGTTTAGATAATTTTAAAATATGGAGCATACCAAATATATTTCAATATTTACAGTATCCTCCTTTTACAAAATGAGGGACCAAACCTTTAGTGCTCCCTAGAAACATCTGGGAAGCATCGAGGATGAATTGGGTGTCAAAGACACCTGACACTTTTATTTTTCTGAATTTAGCATCTGATCTCAGGAAGGCAATATCAAAAATTGTTAGAGAAAATAGATCCTACTAACAAAATAAAAATATAGCCTTAGCTATTTCACGGACAAAAGTGACGGTGCAGTATTTTAAAATAAACAGAACAGATAATAAATTATAATCATCAACAACTTTAGTATTTCCTGAAATAAAGAGTCCTTGTTGCTTAACTTAACACAAGCCAGGAGCATGATAAGGGGCAACACAGAAGCACCACGTTAACAGGTGCTCGAGAATTGAAAGAATTCATAAGGTAAAGCTGAATGAAACTTTTGCTATCTGAAAATATATAAAAGACAAAGAATAATTATTTCTTCACATGGAGAGCAGACTATCTAAGATCATTTTGTAATTACTAGTTCTTTTCTTAAGCTTCTCTTGTTTATCATCAACGTAGCATTTAGTCGGACTGTGTGTATGTATATATTATACACATATATATTACATATATATTGAGAGAGAAAGATTACAATGTTAAATAAAACCTTTTAAAGTAATAGACTCTTGTGCTCGCTTCAGCAGCACAGATACTAAAATTGGAATGAAACAGAGAAAATTAGCATGGTCCCTGTGCAAGAATGAAAAGCAAATTTTGTCAAGTTCCCGAACATCATGCCACTCCTTGCTGATAGCTCCAGGGAAATGATAAGTCCAAGCACACCATGAGGCACCCCATAGTGAAATCGTAATTTTTCCCTATGAAATATATATATAGTAATAAACTTTTGCTCTAAAATATGTAACTATGACAACATAGATGGGAGTGGGAGGGGTGGACCTCTGTGGGGCACCTTCATGGATAGGTTGCTCCCTGAGTCCTCAGAGGTACCTGGTGGGGATAGGAGTCCTGCTATAAACTGTCCTCACAAGGTGACATCACCACAGTGACATCCCAGACATGAGCAGCTTGTGGGAGGCAGTGCCTCTCCAGTTAGCCGCCCAGCTGAGGATTTACCTCACTTTAGACTTTTTTGTGCCATTGCCTTCTGAAGACATTCTAGCCCTGTGGTGTTGGTGTATGGTGTGGGGAACATCAAAGACCTTCCCTACCAGAATCTGTAACCCTCCATTTGAGCACAGACACACTTAGGGGACTCTCCCAGAGCCAGTTCCTTGGGGACTTGTGTTTGAATTAGGAAGTGAGAAGGAACATCTTCTCTGAACCCAAACCACTTTTTTCCTCCCCAAAGCCCCAGTGCATAATAGTATATCATAGTTGTAAATCCTTCTAGTTCTCCTATGTGGGATGATGTCACAGTACGGCTTGAAGAGCAGTGTGTAGGTCCACGCCCAGGATCCAAATTGGCAAACCCCAGGCTGCAGAAGCAGAGTAGGCGAACTTAACCACTATACCACTGGGCCAGCCTCCAAACCACTTTTGATGATTAATATTATGTGTCAACTTGGCTAGGCCACAGTACCCACATATTTGGTGAAAGAATATTCTAGATGTTTCTGTCAAGGTATTTTTTTTTTGATGAAATTAACATTTAAATTAGTAGACATTGAGTAAAGCAGATTACACTCCATAATGTGGGTGGGCCTCATCCAATCAGTTGAAGGCCTTATTGACCTCGCCCAGAGGAAAAGGGAATTCTGCCAGCAGACTGCCTTTGCACTTGAACTGCAACATCAACTCTTCCCTGGGTCTCCAGCCTGCTGGCCTACGCTGCAAACTTTGGACTTGCCAACCTCCAGAATCACATGAGCTAGTTCCTTACAATAAATATAAACTTTCATACATATATGTACATTTACATAAACACATACATAGACACTTACAAATATCACATTGATTCTGTTTCTCTTGAGAACTCTGACTCATGCACTGCTTGAAATGCATTGAGAGAATGCTACCATTAGATCTGCAGGCAGTCCTCAACTTACAACAGTTCAATTTACGATTTTTGACTTTGCGATGGTGCAAAAGTGATACACATTCAGTAGAACCTATAATTCAAATTTTGACTTTTGATCTTTCCTCAGGATAGTGATATGTGGTGTGATCCTCCCTCATGATGCTGGGCAGTGGCATCGAGCCACAGCTCTCAGTCAGCCACATGATCTTTAGGGTAAACAATCCATACACTTACAACCATTCTATACCCAGACAACCATTCTGTTTTTCACTTTGAGTACACTATTCAATAAATTACATGAGACATTCAACAGTATTATGAAACAGGCTTTTTGTCAGATGATTTTGCCCAACTGCAGGCTAACTTAAGTGTTCTGAACATGTTAAAGGTAGGCTAGGCTACGCTATGATGTTCAATAGGCTAGGTGTGTTAAATGCATCGTCAACTTATGACATTTTCAACTTACAATGGGTTTATTGGAATGTAACCCCATCATAAGTTGAGGAAGATCTGTATTATCTTGCCAAAACCTAGGAGACAAGTACTCAAGACACTGGACACTTTGGGCACCAAACTCTGAAGAAATGATCACTTCGTGAAAACTAGATTATCCCAAGGGAAACACAGTTTACATCTCTGAGCATCAAGGATTCTGGGGGTCTTCAGATATACTCCTACTATGTAAACTGTGTTAATTCTTAGAGCAGAAGACCAGTGCTGGGAACAGCAATGACCTGGGACTGAGGAACTGACTATCCAGCACCGGGGGTATTTGCTGACCCTGCTTTGAGGTAGAAGGCATGTGTCGTAGAACAAGATCCCGATCTCTATCAGGCTACATTCCTCAGATCTCTCTCTTTACTCATCCTTGACCTTCTTTGGGTCACGATGTCCTCACAAAGAAGCCAAATAATAGGTAAAGATACACTAAAATGTTTAAATTACCATTTGAGGGAAGTCATGTGGATCTCTCACCCAGCTTAACCACTGGGGGCAGTTCCACCGTACTGGGAACAGTGACGTTTATTCCCCTCGAGGACCGGGGTGAGCAGAAGAGTCCATCCCACAGTGTTGTTTCCTTATCTTCTCAGAAACTTCCCTCTTATTGCTTAGAGAACATGAATTCAGAAGAAGCACAGTGGTCAGATAGAGGCAGGCTCAACGAAGTTCCAGGAATAAAGATAAGGCCACTGTGGCTGAAATAGAATAAGAATGGGAAATGCATAGGAGAAAAGATCCAAGGGCTGAGTGGGCCCCAGATGCTAAAGGACTTTGCAGACCAGGCTGGAAGTCTGGAATTTTGTCTGAGTGCAATGGCAAGCTATTGCAGAGTTTTAAGTAAAGATGTCACATCTGACTGAGATTTTTAAAGGACCACCCTGGCTATGTGTGCATTACAGGAGGGGGAAAAGGGAAGCAAGACAGTTGACTGAGTAAAGAGGACGGTGGCTTGCTCTCGGGTGGTAGCAGCAGAGATGGACAGAAGTAGGTGGGGTCAGACTACGGTTTAGAGGTAGAGTCTATAGAACTTTTAATGAACGGAATATGTGGAGCAAGAGAAAGCAAGAGATCAAGGGTGCTGGAGCAACAAAGTGGATGGTGGCCCCAATGACTGAGATGAAAAAGACTAAAGAGAAATAAATTTGCCCACATAAATCAAAAGCCCTGAGCAATTTCACTTGAAAATTAATTTCTGTTATTCTTGAAAATTAGTTTCTGCTATTCTTCAAGTAAGGGCATTCATGAGTCAATGCAATTTTATTAGTACACATATACAGAAATAGACTAAATACTTTAGTATATTCTAAATGCTTGATTAGCGTCTGCTGATCTTCAATTGGTTGACTCCAAAGTGTACTCCTGTTTAGAATACTTTCAAATATATACACTTGCTATCCTTCTGTTGACCTCCTGTCTCCTAGCAAAGTTAATTTAATTCAGGACTTGTTAATTAACCACTTTGTGCTTAACATTAAGCACTAGGCCAAGTATTATGAGAAATAGCAATTCAGTAAGTAAAACATGAATCCACTTCTTGAAGATGTTACATTTTCATCCTTAAGACAAAAACAAATACCGATAATGCAGCTAAATAATGAAATCAAGTGATGCAGCATTAAATACAAAAGCTACTAATAGAGAATCTGAGTATCAGTGTCGTAAGAGTTGGGACAAAAAGTTTAGACTGTGAAGGCTGGAGAAATCAGGGAAGGCTTTTTGGAAGGACAAATATACGGAACTCCAACAGAAAGCTCTATTTAAAAGTAAGGTAGGAATCAGCATGACTAAAGTTTCATTCTCTAATATCAAAGATACTGGTAACTTCTACAAAAGGGACAATTTTAGCTGCACAGTCCTTTGAGGCTTGGGTGAATATAGTATGAGGGAAAATAAGGTCTTCCTATTACATTTATTTAGTAATAGAAATCATTAGAAAGGATTTCGTTGCTATTTCAGAGATAATTGAGCCTAGAACACATTGAATTGTGTGTGTGTGTTTCCTATTAAATATAGGAATGCTAAGTCACTTTTTGGGTATTTCTATATTATTTCTATAACCCATTTGTCTCCGCCAATGATAACCTTGCAGCTCAAGACTAGCTCTGGTTTCCACAGTTTACTCTCGCGATTCATGCTTCTTTCTTGGATCCACTTTTTCCCATTTCCTAAGCCCAGCACTGGGGTCATTCTTAAATTATACTCAACAGAATGAACATTAGAGTACTGTTCTTAAAACAGGCCTGGAGCTGCAGAAGAGGATGCAGAAGCACCAGTGAGGATATTTAAATAATTTGAAAAAAATCTGTAAAGAGAAAACTGGGATTATTCTGTTTATATGCAAGAATACAAGGAGAGAAACAAACACCATTATCATGGTCAAGTGAATGCTATGGACTGAACTGTGTCCCCTCAAAATTCCTAGGTTGAAGCTCCAGCCTCCAGTGTGATGGTATTTGGAGATGGGCCTTTAGGAAGTAACTAAGGTTAAATGAAATCATAAGGGTGGGATCCTCATCTGATAGAATCAGTGACCTTAGAAGGAGAGAGAAAGAGGGAGAGATATCTCCATGTGCACACACCAAGGAAAGACCATGTGATGAGAAAGCAAGAAGATGACCATCTGTAAGCCAGGAAGCAGGAATGGAATTGCCTGGCACCTTGATCTTGGACTTCCCAGCTTCCAGGGCTATGAGACATAAATTTTTGTTGTTTAAGCCCCTAGTCTATAGTATTTTGTTAGGGCAGCCCTAGCAGACCAATGCAGATTTCTATGCCATGAAGAAGGGTGCCACTGTAACAAATACTTAAAAATGTAGAAAGAGCTTTGGAATAGGGTAATGGGTAGATGCTGGCAGAGTTTTGAGGTATATGCAAGAAATATGGACATAAAGGGCAATTCTAGTGAGGGCTCAGAAAAAAAACAGGAGAGCCAAAGAGAAAGCTTCCATCTTCTAAGCAAAGTGTTGAAGGAGTGGCTTGTTCCTCCTGACTGCTCAGAGAGAAATGTGAAAGGAGAGAGATGAACTGAAGAAGGAATTGTAAGCATAAAAGAAGCAAAACTTAAGGATTTGGAAAATTCTCAGCCTATCCACATTGCAAAAATGAGAAAGCCATTCTGAACAGAATACCAAGGATGTGGCTGAACTATCATTTGGTAAAAAGTTAAAGGGACTGTACAAGCAAAAGCACTGCTAGTCTGAACTAAAAAGGACAGAGATGGGATGAAATGAAGGAAGGCCATTGCTCTCATTGGA